AGGGGCTTGGGTTTTAGCTCAGTGGTACAGCACTTGCCTAGCATGTGTGAGGCACTGGGTTCGATTCTCAGCACCACAAATAAATAAATAAAATAAACGTCCATTGACAACTAAAAAATTTTTTTTTTAATTTTGTAAATATGTTACCAATGAAGATCTAGAAAACCCCAAGGAATCAATCTAGAAAACTATATTGAGGGCAACTGATTCAGGGCAAGAAGGTTAATTTTGAAGATATTTAATTGTACTAGTATTATATGTAGTGTGGCTATACATGAGAAAATAAATACAACGTGTCAGTGTGTGTCCAGGACTGATCCCAAGAAGTACAGGCAGATCTTGTGGATACAGGACTCTGCCACTAAAATAGGATGTGTCAAAGTGGAGCTGTGGAACTGGAAAAGCTCATCAAGAATCTTTCCCAAGTTTGATAAAAGGTCCCTCTGTTCCTACCCTATGTTCAAAAGAAATGTTTTGACCTGGTTTCCCAAATTAGTAGATACTAAAAAGGGAAAGCCTGGATTACACAGATTAATATTTTATTCACTGAAAAAATAAATCTAGGGGGTAGGCCTGTCCGTCTCTTGTAGAGATGGCAAACTTGTTCTTAAGTACACAATCAACAGAGGGCAAATTCAATAATATTTCTGTCCTTGCAAAGCTGAACTTTTTCTAGAACTAGGAAATTTCATGATAGGCATATATACTTAAACACTGAATTGAAATATATTTTGGTTTTTTTAAAAATTTACTACCTTTGTTAAGTTATATTGATAACTGAATTTCACATGGCCTACAATTAAACACAGGCCATAGCAATAATAAAAGTAATACTAAGAATAACAATGGGGCTGGGGATGTGGCTCAAGTGGTAGTGCGCTAGCCTGGCATGCACGAGGCACTGGGTTCTATCCTCAGCACCACATAAAAATAAAATAAAGATATTGCATCCACCTAAAACTAAAAAAATAAATATTTAGAAAAAAAAAAAAAAGAATAACAGCTAACCTTCCCATAGGGTTCCCATGCACTGACACTTTTTATATAGAGTGCTCTATCACTGAGCTACATCCTCAGCCCCCATGTTTTATTTTGAGAAAGGGTCTTGCTGAATTGCTGAGGCTGGTCCTGAACTTAAAGATGTTCCTGCCTTGGCCTCCCAAGTGGCTGGGATCACAAGCATGGACCATCACATCTGACCCATGAGAGAAATTCTAACTCACTCAATCCTATAACAACCTATAACCAGGTTCTACTATAACCCCCACTTTACAAATGAGCAAACAGAAGCAGAGGGAAGTAAGAAGTTCGCCAGGGTTACATGTGTTAGGAGGTAGGGCTGAGATTCAATCCAGGATGCCTGGTCCCAAAGTCAGTGTTCTTAATTTTGTTGGGCTTCTACTATCAATTTTCTCAGTTTCAAAATTCTTCTTTTTCAAAATGTTTCTGAAATTCCATACACAGCACAGCAAAACTGTTTCCCAAATCTTTATGATTAACCATGGCTCCTGTTGGTTTTCATAAACAAAAGGTCAAATCATTATGAAATTTACAAAAGTTAAGACAAAATTGATCAGAAAAAAGAAACCACTGTTTTAAAATTCACATTGTTCAATTTCAAAGCATAACTTGAATTGTAAAGTACATATATAACTAGCATCTTACAGTAATAGAATTGGACCATAAAGCAATAATATTATAGCTTTTAAAGGAAAAAGTATTAAATTGAGCCCACCCTGACTAGTGATTTTAAGTGATTCAATCACTTTCACGCTCATTTCAAATCTCTAACTTGCTGGTTATAAATATAGTCCCTAAAAAGTCATTATTCATTTTCCAGATTAGTTGGCACTCCACAGCAAGATGGTAATTAATCTCCTATCATTAATTAATAAAAATTAAACTTTTAGGGCTGGGGATATAGCTCAGTTGGCAGAGTGCTTGCCTTGCATGCTCAAGGCCCTGGGTTTGATCCCCAGCACCACAAAATAATAAATAAACAAATAAATTTATGTCCATCTACAACTAAAAAATATTTTTTTAAAAAAATTAAACTTTTGGGCTGGGGATATGGCTCCAGCGGTAGCAGGCTTGCCTGGCATGCGTGTGGCCCAGGTTCGATCCCCAGCACCACATATAAAAAACAAAAAGTTGTTGTGTCTGCCGAAAAACTAAAAAATAAAATATTTTAAAAAATTGAACTTTTAATGTGTGTTTTTTTTCTATTTTTCCCAAAATTTAATGATATCAACATATGCCACTGAACTGTTACACTCCAAAATTTGTTTTCTTTAAACCTTGATATTACACTTTAAAAAGAAAAAAGAAAGCACTTCTCATAAAGTGGTCTTTTGCCATGCTAGTAGTGTTGTTTCTTTATGAGGGTGTCTATTACAGGAATGTGTCCAGTTTATGAAAACTCATCAAGTTATATACTTCTCCATATATGTATTAAATACTTTAATAAAAAGTTTCTTTTTAAAATATTTTACTGTTGATGAGAACTTTATTCTCTTATATGCACTCCTGAAAATCAAACCCAGGGCCTCACACATGCTAAGCAAGTGCTCTACACTGAGCCACAACCCCAGCACCAAAAGTTGCTTTTTAAATAATCTTTACTTAACTTTACCCCAAACCATTACATACTATCCTTTTTGGAAATTGTCAATTTAAAAAGTTCTCTTTTTTTCTAATCTAAGAAAGTAAACTATAGCACTGAGTAATTTTCAGCATATGCAAGAGGAAAATAAAACGGGGCCTGGGGGTATGGCTCAGTGACAGAGCACCTACCCAGCATGTATGCCTGGGTTCAATTCCCAGCAGTGGAAAAAAAATTAACCTCTTATCCAAACAAAGAGCCATCTAAGATAGTCTACAGAATCAAAAAGTACTATTTAATTCTTTCACAAATGTCTTGAGATCTGAAGATCGCCAAGGGAAAGGAAACATACTTTTTTTTTAGCTTCTGTGTGCTCATTTTACTCACAAGAACCTTGTCAGGTAGGTATTACTACACACTTGTGGCAGATGACGGCAGTTTCCAAAGAAGGGCACAACAATACCTACCTCATTCCAGAAGCTTTTCTTATAATGCACAGTGACTGTCTTCTACAGAAAAATGGATGTTTCCTCTTCTCTAAACTGTATAGAATTTTACACCAGCCTTGAGCAAGAAAATGTTGCCTAAGTGACCTGTGAGACTCCCAAGTTGGGACACACAGGCCAAGGTGCTTCCTCCTGGCTTGGTCTATCTCAGGATGCCTGCCTTGGCACCTGCCACAGGCTGTGAGTGCATGTCCTGCACACAGCCCCAGAGACACCTCTGGCTAAAAGGCAGCATCCACTACCAGGCCTGGTTACTGAGCCTTTTGCAGGTGATTCCAACTCCCACCTTCAAGCCTTCCAGTGAGAGCCCACAGGGTGTGAGACAGGACAAGCCATCCCCAGACAGGACCCCTGACCCACAGTAACCATGGGACAATAAATAATTATGGCTGCATTAAGCCACTACATTTGAAATAATTTGTTAGACAGCAATAAATAAATAGCTAACACACTTCATAAATAAAGAGCTCTGGTAGATAACTGTGCCAGCAAGAAGCTGACTTCAAGTCAGTCAATAAATAAAACCCACACTTGTTACCAGAGGGTACTGCTTCCAGATTTGCTGAGTTGCCCACATTTCTCAATGTAAGCAAAAGTTTCCACATTGAGCATTCTGAGAGCAGCAAACATCCTCCAAAATAAATGTCACCCAGAGCAACAGCTCATCCCATCCACGGCCTTGAGATCCCAGCATCATTTCTGACATAACTTCCCTTCACACCCTAATGACAGCACATCCCATAGTCCTCATAGCTGGAGATACTTAAATACCTCACACTGATAATAATACATACTTATACACACTTTATAAAGCACTTTGCCAATCACTAATCAACTTGATCTTTGGGGGAAACCTCTCTGTGAGACAGATAAGGCAGGCATCAAACAGAGGAGGTTCAAAAAGTTGAAAATAATAAACAACAACACATCTGAGGAAGGATTTGACTCAAAGGATTTGACTCAGATTTTCTGACTCCACACCCAGTGCTCTTTCAACCCAGCTCAAAAGGAACTCTCTGGAGGGCCACACAGGACCCTGCCTGTGGTGCTTATGGAGAATCCTCTGTGCGCACGGCATCACCCAGCCAGTCTCTCCACAAAATGTCCTTCCTACTTGGACCCACTCTCTACCTTGCCAATCAACCATCCTTCCACCTCCCTCAATCACAACACTGAAACACGGTCAGAGGCAGAATCATACAGACAAGAGTACAGGCCAAATTTCTTTGTCTGCCTTCCAGGTTTTCAGTAATCTGATCCCAGTTTAGTTGATCAAATTAATTTCCCTCCATTTACGAAGAAAACCCAAATTAATCTCTTCATTCCTTCTCCAACTCACTTTCTTCCTCTCCCTCATCAAGATCTGGGGGTGCCGCCTGAGGGCTCACCCCTGTCTCTGACAGTCTCTTGTCTCAAAGACTTAAAATCAACTGCAGAGCCGGAACAAACCTGGAATGACAACACCATTATGGCCCACAAGCCTTTAGAGAGGCATCCCTGGGCCGAAGACCGCCCTCGCCAAGGGAGCACTGAGCGGGGACAGACAGTGCTTGCCTGGGCAGAAGTGAATGGCACCCTCACTGAGCGATGGCCTGACAGCCTTCCCACCCACCTGCTTCTTCCTTTCTGATTCCCCCAACCCTTCCCAGCCCAGTGCTTCCAGAAGTCTTCCTCAACTGCTCCAGAACCTTACGCGCCCTGTCTTCCTACAGAAGCAATTCTGCCTGTGACACACATCCCGGCACTCATCACCCCTGCACAGACTGTGACCCTCCACCCGAGCAGACTCCTGAAGACAGCAATGTCTCCACAGTGAGCACTCCAAGTTCCTTCAAGTGAACTCAACTCGGTCATTAAAAATCCATTGAACATAACATTGCTTCTTAACTTACCGGGCATCTCCTTTGGAAAGATTTGTATTTACAGGATTAAGAATAATCTTGTTTGCATCAACATCCACCACACATTTGGTATGCAAATCAATTTCTGCAAATTAAAAAAAAAAAAGATAAATAGTCATTTTTAAGAGTAATTTATTTTGGAAGAGCATTTAACAAAAACTCAAAACTCTTAGTGAGTTTAAAAAATATGTCCTATCACTCTTTTTTTTTTGAGAATTTTAATATTTTTTTGTTGTTGTTGTTTTTGGCAGATACATCTTAGTTTGTATGTGGTGCTGAGGATCGAACCCGGGCCACACGCATGCCAGGCGAGCATGCTACCGCTTGAGCCACATCCCCAGCCCTCCTATCACTCTTTCATGATAAAAACTTTCAACAAACTAGAAATAGTAGAGAAATTTCTCAGCCTATTAGAAAATATCTATGAAAACCCACCACTAATACCACACCCACTGGTGTGGAACTGAACAGCTGAATGTCCAATATCAAGAACAAGACAAGGATGTTTACTACCAACTTCTATGCAACACAGTACTAGAAATTCTAGTCAGGGCAGTTAGGTGAGAAAAATAAAAGGCAACCAGACCGGAAGGGAAGAAGTAAAACTATCTTTATTGCAATGATTTGATTTTATATGTAGAAAATCCTAAAGAATCCATGAAAAAAATATTCGAATAAATACATTCTGCAAGGCCACTGGATACAAAGATAAAATATAAAAATCAATTGTATTTCTATACACCAGCAATGAAAACACTGGAAATGAAATTAAAAAGACAATTTCATTTATAATATCATCAAAAATACTAAAAGGAATCAATTTAAAAGAAATGCAAGAATTATACACTGAAATTCCAAAACCTTGTTGATAAAAATTAAAAATTTAAATAAATGAACAGAAATCTTATGTTCATGAATTAAAAGACTTCATACTGTTTAGATGGCAATACTCTCCAAATCTATAAGATTCAAGGCAGGGGCTGAGACTACATACAGCTCAGAGATAAGAGGACATGCTTAGCATGCACGAGGCCCCAGGTTCAACACCCAGCATCTCACACATGCGTGTGTACACACAGACTTAAGGAAATCCTCATTAGAATCCTAGCTTGCTTTTTTATAAAAACCAACAAGCCAAGCTGGGGTGCATTTTAGTGGTGGAGCACTTACCTAGCATGTGTGAGGCCCTGGATTCAGTCCCCACCACAGAAGGGGAAAGAAAAGGAAGAAATGAAGGAAAGAAACAAACACAGGCAGGCAAAAGATCCAGAGCAGCATAAACATTCTTGACAAAGAAAAAAAACACTCCACTATATCAAAATACTACAAAACTACAGTAACCAAGACAATGTGGTCCTACTACAAGGGTAAATATATACATCAGTGGGACAGAACTGCAAGTCCAGTTTTCTGACAAGGGTGACAAGACAGAACAAAGGAGAAAGCACACTTTTGCTGGGACAACTGGGTATCCACATACTGAAGAATGAAAGTAGAATCCTATCTCACTCCACACTCATGAACTAACTATAGTGGAGGAAGGACAAGAAAAATCCAAATGGAAGAAAATCTAACTTTAAGAGCTAAAACTATAAAACTCCTAAAAGAAAACATAAACATAAATCCATATGACCTTGGGTTAGGTGTAAGTAGTTTCTCACAACAATAAAAGCACAAGCAACAAAAAGAAAAAACAATGGAACTCATCAAGATTTAAGACTTTTGTGCTTCAAAGACACTATCAAAAAAGAAAAACACATCTAGGTTGGCTCCACAGTTTAGCTATTGTGAATTGTGCTGCTATAAACCCTGATGTGGCTGTGTCACTGTAGTATGCTGTTTTTAAGGGCTTTGGGTATAGTCCAAGGAGAGGGATAGCTGAATCAAATGGTGGTTCCATACCCAGTTTTCCAAGGAATCTCCATATTGCTTTCCAAATTGGCTGCACCAATTTGAAGTCCCACCAGCAATGTATGAGTGTACCTTTTCCCCCACATCCTCACCAACATTTATTGTTGCTTGTCTTCATAATAGCTACCATTCTGACTGGCGTGAGATGATACCTTATAGTGGTTTTGATTTGCATTTATCTGGTTGCTAGAGATGATGAGCCTTTTTTCATATATTTGTTGACTGATTGTACATCCTCTTCTAAGAAGTGTCTGTTCAGGTCCTTAGCTCATTTGTTGATTGGGTTATTTGTTTTGAGATGTCTTTCAGTGGATAAATGGATTTAAAAAAAATGTGGCATATATACACAATGGAATTTTACTCAGCATTAAAAAAGAACAAAATCATGGCATTTTCAGGTAAATGGATGGTGTTGGAGAAGATAATGCTAAGTGAAGTTAGCCAATCCCCCCCCAAAAAAAATGCTGAATGTTTTCTCTGATATAAGGAGGCTGACTCATAGTGGGGTAGGGAGGGAGAGCATGGGAGGATAGATGAATTCTAGATAGGGAAGAGGGGTGGGAGGGAAAGGGAGGAGCAGGGGATTAGCAAGGATGGTGGAATGTGATTGACATCATTATCCAAAGTATATGTATGAAGACTTGAAAAAAAAAGAAAAAAAACAATAGATAGAATATAAAAACTACTTATAAATCATATAGCTAATAAGGGACTTGCACCAGAATAAAGAATTCTGAATAATGAAAAGACTATTAGAAATAGTCAAATTTTTAAATGGGCAAAGAAATAGAATAGACATATTTCAAAAAAATACAAAAATGCCCAATAAACATAAGAAAAGATGCTTGACATCATCAGATGTTGGAAATACAAGCTAAAATCACAATGAAATACCACTTCGCACCCCCTAGGATAACTATAATCAAAAAGCAGGTAATAAAAAATGCTGGTAAGGATGTGGAGAAATTAGAACCCTAGTGCATTACCATAGGAACATAAGGATGCAGTCACTTGGGAAAAGTGTGGCTAGATTCCATATGACCCAGCATTTTCACACACACACACACACACACACACACACATATATCCAAAAGAAATGACAACGTATGTCCACACAAAATCTTACACACAAATGTTTCCAACAGCATTTTTTAGATAAACAGAAAAAGTAACAATACAAATGTCCACCAAGTAATGAATGGACAGATGTGATGAGTCCAAAGAATGGAACATTATTCAGCAATCAACATGAAGGGAGCACCTTTAAAAGGGATCACACTAAGTTAAAAAGCCACTCACAAAAGGCCAAAGAGAGTGAGGTTCCACTTAGTTTAAATGTCCCAAATAGGAAATCTAGGGAGGCAGAAGAGAGATCCCTGGTTTGTTAGTGCAGAGCTTAATGCTCCTGGGTGCATTTTTCTTTTTTTTTTTTTTTTTTTTTAAGAGAGAGTGAGAGGGGGACAGAGAGAGAGAGAATTTTAACATTTATTTATTTTTTCTTAGTTCTCGGCGGACACAACATCTTCGTTTGTATGTGGTGCTGAGGATCGAACCCGGGCCGCACGCATGCCAGGCGAGCGCGCTACCACTTGAGCCACATCCCCAGCCCCTGCATTTTTCTTTTGAGGGTAATGAAAGTGTTCTAAAATTGATCCTGGGCTGGGGATGTGGCTCAAGCGGTAAGACGCTCGCCTGGCATGCATGGGGCACTGGGTTCGATCCTCAGCATCACATAAAATAAAATAAAGTGTTGTGTCCACCGAAAAACTAAAAAATAAATATTAAAAAACATTTTAAAAATAAAATTAAAAAAAAAAATAAAATTGATCCTGCTGGTAGATGTACAACTGTGAGCTTACAGATCATGAATTGGGAACAATGTTCGAGATGTGAATTTTATCTCAATACTGCTGTGTTAGAAAAGACTGAATGTTTACATTCCCATAATTTTATACTCTTATATTTGTCTGCACTAAGTATCTGCACGAAGAAACAGTAACTGTTTCTGTTCATCTCATTTCCACTGCCAAAAGAAAGGAGCTGTACTATGTTGGAGTCATTAGTATTTTCCAAGAACCTTGGCCAAATGTCAATGTCATATTCATTAGAAAGTGTTTCTACTGTCAGTAAGGGTAATTTTTTAAAATTCCTTTTAACTTACATAACAAATGCAAAACAAAACAAAAACATTCCTCTTTCTGGCCCCAACTAACTTTTCTAATATCAGTTATTCTACTTTTATTACCAAATATATATTATTTGAGAAATGCAAAAAGGTCACTGTTTTTTTTTTGTTGTTGTTGTTTTGGTTTGGTTTGTTTTTTTTGGCCAACACATTTTCAGGCAAAGATAATCTAAAGAAAAACTTGAGAGCTGTTTTACCTAGGTTTAAAAAAAAAAAAAAGGCTCCTAAAAGGGGACAATGTTCTGCCATGATCAGCTAGCCTTAAGTCCTATGAGTAATGCTTTGTGTTTAAGTCACCTCTACCCCTGACAGAAGAGCTTCAGGAAAGTGTCAGCAGCGGTGCAGCAAACTTTCAAACCTGCAATTTCGTCCTTGCTTCCTTAGGCCCAGAGCTCGAGAAAGTGTGCAATCATCCTGATTTGTTAATACCTCTGACCATACTGTATTAGGTGGCCTCTTACAGGCAAATCTACTTATACACAAATGTATCATCAACTGTCCGGAAATTCTGTGACTCAGAATCTACCATCTCACCACCTACCACAAAGTTAGTCGATAGTTTCTTGCAAGAGAGTTTGGTCTCAACAGAGGAGCTGCACATTTAGATTCATAAAAATACATGCCTGAAGAAACTGGGTGTTCATCAAAGTTTCTCCTACAATAGTGCATTACCTTCATTTCACAGGATCTTGAACTGAGAAGGGATCCACACTTTTCCTTCAATATCTTTCCTAATAGCTCCTCCCTCTTCCACACCACTGCTTGCCACTTACATCAAGTACAACAAATAATTAAGGCACCAACTTCTGAATAACTCTATGTAATACAAAGAATCACCTATTACTAATACATCTAACCTAAACTCACTTTGTCCTAACATGGCAATGCTTACAAATACCCCTGCATCTAACACCCCTCACTGATGGCTTCTTTTTTTTTTTCCTTTTTTATTGTTGGTCGTTCAAAACATTACATAGTTCTTGAT